TTTTTTCACCTTATCTCCCTTCACTTAATGTCTGTGTTCTTCTTACCTGTGATATATCTCTTTCTAGAGACCATTTACATCAATTCAGATCTTGGTATGTTTTAAGCAAATAATTTACTTTTCATTTTGGGTTTTTGATTTGTTGTTTTGTATGCTTTATGTAAAAACCCTTCAGCTGAGATTGATTTGCTTTGTCTGATTTGGGTTTCTTTTTTCCACAATTGGTTTCCGTTGTTTACAATTCATTCATTCATTAATTGTTTCATACTAGTGGAATCGATCGGGTTCTTAGGGTTTTCTTCTTGCGATTTTCAGGTGTTTTATTTGGCAGACATTGAATTAATTTGTTATTTTCTGGTTCATGAAGTGCTACGTACTAATACTCACTTTCTTTTTTTAGTTATTCATGAAATCCAAGTTCATTTCACTTACTTTATCTTTATGAGTGTTAAATAGATAATTTATTGAAAGATGTTCAATTGAATTATTGACCATAAATTTCATAGCCAATTGGCTGATTACCTAATTTATCTGAATAGTAGTATAAGAATTGAATTGGCGATAGTTTGTTTTTGAAAATTTAGTATTGCAATAGGTTTTGACAAATGAGTGCACTGAGAACTTCTCTTTAAATTACACAGAAATTTCACACTGCTGTTTTGTTTTTCCAGAAATGTGTTTGAAATTAAAACTTGTTGGCATTGACTGTATGTTTGTTTTTAGTTATTTGCTATGTTTTTTTTGTTATTTTTATTAGCTTGATGACATGCTTTATTTTTTCAGGGAATACTTCCAATTTCAGCAAAACACTGGATAGCTTTGATGCTTGAGTGGTCCCTCTTAATAAGAAACTTGCAATGTGATGGCCATTGGTATGCAAACTTGTAACTGCTAAGATCTTTTTGTGAATTAAAAGTTGCTATTGGCACTACTTTCATTTTGTAGGTTGCTGAAGTGAACTTCCTTTTAAACGGAGGCAAAGGGTATGGCATCTCGTCTTATGTTAGTTATTAATGATGTTATATGTACTGTTACTGAGTAACTATGGATTTGTTGCTGCCATTATTACATTTCTGAAGTAGATATCTTTTTACAAAGAACTTTATCCAACAGTTAACCTGCTTATTCTTAAAGCACTTGAAGTTCGAGCTGATGTATTCCTTTGAAACTTCCTTTTTCTTATCATTTTATTGCTATTTTGTACATGCATGTTGTCATTTATTAATTCACAGCTACTTATTCTGGAATAGTTTTTGGGCTGTTATTTTTTGTTGTTGTTGTTGTGAACTGCATTTGGAGTAGGTCAAATGATAAATTCTAAGTTCCAATCTTGTTAATTTGCTAACTTCACTGAAAAATAATTTAAAAGCTACCCTTCAATTTTGTTATACTCTTGATGTTTCTATTGTCTTTCGGTCCGTCTTCTTTTTATTCAAAAGCAACTGTGACCATAAAATATGCGTGATTTGTGACCATGATCTGATTGGTTAAATTACTGGTCACGAACTTTTATTGGGGATCACAAAATGTGACCAAACTTTTATCAGGGGTCATAAAATGTGACACCTGATTTTTGAAAAAAGTTCACAAGTTTGTAAATTTTTGACAAAAGGCACATTGAAACCTTTGTAGTTATGTAATTTTTACTTAAAATAAAGAACAAAGATTGTTTTTTTTTTTTCACTGTTTTTTTATGCATATTTGAATGATTTCAAACCATTTAAATTGCTCGTAGAAATAGTGAGTACATTGTTTTTTTCTATTTGTCGAAATGGGTAATTTTTGCTTCAATATTTAAAAGTAGGGCATCTTTTTTGTTGCTGTATTGGACTAGGAGAAGATGTGACGGGGATTGATTCCGTCGGTAAAATGTGATTATGTTCGTCCTATGAATTTATGATTGATAATGGAACTCAATTGGGGGTTTAATTATTATCAATTTTTGTATAATTGGTGCAAAATAATCCAGTCATTTACATGTTTTGTACGAAACAATCTTATCTTTTCATTTTGGGGGTAATACTCCCTCGTTGTAGTCATATCTTAACATTCTTATCCTCGCTCTTTAATTAAGCAGAATATTTCATATCATTTTTTGTACAAAAGGTCCGTTGAGTGGGAAGGGGGAGGGGAAATGAAACAACATATTTGCTCGTCGTACTTTAAAGTATTTTTCTTTCATTTCAAAGCTCTTAAAATGGAAAATCTTAATGAATTTATCGTCAAAGATGAGATGTGTGAATTACTGGAAGGTGAAGATAAAAATTCGGCAAAAAAACTAGAGACAAAAGTGTTTACGGTAAAAAGAAAAAAAAAAATGTTGAAGACTTTATGAACAGTCATATTAAATTGTGGTTTAAATATAGTTTAATAATATGAATTGAGCATAAGTTAAACAATTAATAAATTTTATTAAAAATTATTATGCTAATTAGTTCTTTTTTAAATAATAAATAAATAATATTTTATATTTTATAAATTAATGTTACTAGAATATAAATATTAATTGGATAAAAAATTATTTACTTGAATTTAACATTTTTAAGGTCCATTCTAGATGTTATATAGCATTTAATAAATTAATAGAATATTGTATTCAAAGGAAGTTCATTTAACATATATTTTAAAATACTGTAACAGAATTTATTGGTTTTCATTTCTGAGTAAAAAAATAATTAATATTTAAATTGATAGTTTTTTATTTTCAAAAAGGACACTTCAAAGGTTTAAAAAAGAAAAATAACACTTCTTTTCAAAAATGTTATCTCTTTCATAACAAATTACTTATTTATTAAAATAAGCAATTTGTGAAAAACTTTACAATTATAAATAACCAAAGATGAGTTAATTGTTCCAATGGTCACTGAACTTAGGTCAATGTTTTTGATTGACCATCGAACTTTGGCCACTGAATTTTGAAAAATGTCGAGTTTTGGTCAATGAACTTAGATCTATGTCTTGGATTGGTCACTGAACTTTAAATTGTCGAGTTTTGGCCACTGAACTATGAAAAATGACGAGTTTTGGTCACTGAACTTAGATCCATGTCTTCGATTGCTTACTGAAGTTTAAAATGTCGAGTTTTGGCCACTGGATTTTGGAATATACTGTACGTTACTCACTAGCATAACTCTTGAAATTTGAAAAATATCGAGTGATGAGTTTGTTTCACTTATGATTTTTGCACAATTTTAGCTTGATTAAATGCTAGATCTTGTGAGTATAGAACGTTTTTGATGTGTTTGTTAGTGTTGTTTTGAAGATTAGGAGAAACGATGTGAAAAAAGGTATTCAAGTGGACGAAGAGACCAAAAACACGAAATTGGGGTAGAAAGACGGCGCTTAGGCGCTGCATTCATAGCGCATAGACGCTACGAAATTGAAAAAAAGATGAAATTTAGACCCGAGAGGCAGCGCCTAGGCGTCGCAACCATAGCGCCCAGGCGTTGCGATTGAATATCTAGGGCCCTTTTTTTGGGCCGTTTTTAAATCCATACAAACCGTACTTCTATATAAAACGGAGGGGTACCTATAAATATATCTTTCTCATACCTTTGAAGGGTTCTTGACATATTGGAGAGAAGACAACAAGAAAAGAGATTCAAAAGAGAAATTCAAGAAGATTAACACCAAACAATTGAAGATTAGAAGCATTTATTGAAAGAGGAAGGAGATCTTGGTGTAAGAATTCTACTTTTTTTTTCTACATCTTTATTACAAACTCGGTGATGTATTCTAAGACAAATTCCTACTTTTCTTCTTGTATTATGAGTAGCTAAATTCATTGTTAGGGGGAATGATGTAACCAATTGGGATCTTTTATATTCTTTTATTAAGACTTTCAGTTTTTAATTCTTCAATGTGTTGATTTTGCTATGAGTTGAATGCATTAAATTATCTGATCAATAATTTGATGATTTTTGTGAATTCTTTACAAATAGAGATATGAGTTTAGGATTTAAAATTTTGTTTCGCAATTTTACGACCCGTAACAAGTAATAGTGGACCTAAGAGTTCGGATTGTCGATCCCACAAGGACTATTTTCTAACACTGAATTCAATTTTTCTTTAACTACTATTTTACTAAAACAAATTAAAGGTTGTAAAATCTGGGTTTTAATCTAAATTCTAGAAAATAAATGAATGTTCACACGATTGGAGAATCAAATAATGAATGGATATTAAGGTAGAATAACTTCACCAGTTGATCACCTTTACATCTCAAATTAAAACTCAATTCTAATATAGTGCTCTGTCGAATTCTCCTATTGTATTCCATTTACCCCTCTCGAGTTCTCATTGAGCCTATTCAACTAATTAAATTTCATATCTCTATACAAATTCAACTTAATTAAACGAGTTCTATGTCTTAGAAATTTAATTATGACCACAATAAATGATATAGGTATCTCTACTCGTTATACCAATGTATTGAATTTTACTACATGGTCTAAATCCTAAACTCATATCTCTATTTGTAAAGAATTCACAAAAATCATCAAATTATTGAGCAGATAATTTAATGCATTCAACTCATAGCAAAATCAACACATAGAATAATTAAAAACTGAAAGTATTAATAAGAGAATGTAAAATATCCCAATTGGTTACATTATTCCCCCTAACAATGAATTTAGCTACTCATGATACAAGGAGAAAAGTAGGAATTTGTCTTAGAGTATATCACCGAGTTTGTAATAAAGATGTAGAAAAAAAATAGAATTCTTACACCAAGATCTCCTTCATCTTCCAATGAATGCTTATAATCTTCAATTGCTTGGTGTTAATCTTCTTGAATTTCTCTTTTGAATCTCCCTTCTTGTTATCTTCTCTCCAATATGTCAAGAACCCTTCAAAGGTATGAGAAAAATGTATTTATAGGTGCCCCTCCGTTTTATGTAGAAGTAGGGTTTTTATGGATTTAAAAACGGCCCAAAAAACGCGCCCTAAATATTCAATCGCAGAGCCTAGGCGCTGATGATAGCGCTGCCTCTCAGGTCCAAATTTCATCTTTTTTCAGTTTCGTAGCGCCTAAGCGCCGTCTTTCTGCCCCAATTCCGTGTTTTTGACCTCTTCGTCCACTTAAATACCTCTTTTCACACCGCTTTTCCTAATTTTCAAAACAACACTAACAAACACATCAAAAACATTCTATACTCACAATATCTAGCATTTAATCAAGCTAAAATTGTACAAAAATTATGAGTGAAACAAACTCATCAAATACCCCCCCAAACTTAACCATTTGCTAGTCCTCGAGCAAACAAACAATCCAAACAGTAAAATCATCCAAGGACGATACCCACACAACTAGTTAGTTAAACAATTTGTCTTTTTAGCTCAGCATTGATAACATTATATTATATTTATGAATGGTGTTAAAATTACAATGCAAGAACCAAACTTCCACTCATACAACGCGAAGCGGGTGTGTGTGTGGAGGGTCAAACATAGCGCCGTATATTCACAAGTTGGTTCACTTCCCAACCCTCAATGGTTAATTATTTCCTTTCTTCACTCGTAAGATTCACACACCCCCAAACTCGGTTCTTTTATTCTCTTACCATGGTGTAATTCTAAAGTTTAGTTTTGTTTAAGATTTTCTCACACCACTTTAATTTGGGTTAGTTCAATCGGCAACGTCAACAATTCATTCATGTAGTGAATCTCCCAATCTTCAACAATCTAGTTTATACTTAGTGATTCAAACCCACTAGTTATCTAGGCCCTCAAGATCAGCTTCTTTTTTTTTTAAATTTATTTAATTTTTTTTATTTCACCATTTTTTCACTTCTTGACCCCTGTAGCGAGTGTTAGGTCAGTAACTCCCCGATTTTTTTGTATACCAAAGGTACCAGATTTCAAGAGACTCCTATGAACTTAATAACTCGAGTAAAAAAGGTGCAGGTGTGAGACTCAGCTGAATACATGCAATGCTTCTTCTCTAATAAAAAGAAGCGAAATTTATAGGGGTTAGATTTCTAGCATTCAGTTATCACCAAGCTTATACCAAAAAATTAAATACACTCCACACAATTTTTTCCACATGTACGGAATCACCACAATCTTAAATCATTTCTTTTGCCGGTTAGAATGCCCCAAATTATAATGTATAGGGTTAAGGGGTATTGAC